GAAAAGTAGTTTACTTTAAGTTTTCCCAAAGTGCAAAGACTTAGTCTAGTGATACACATCAGAAAATGGCCATAGATCCAGCTAACTACCACGCAGAGGAAGGCAAGTCCCTTGAATGAATTGAATCTCTGGTCCAACTTAGAAAATACAGACTGAGTTGGAACTTGCCTTTGACAAAGAGCATAACAGTCTAGATAACCAGCTTCTGAACAGAAATGAATTCAACACCAGCCCACAAAACACTTGGATATCTTCCTGCTGAAAGCCTTTAAAAAAATGTCAGCTGTTTATTGTGTGCATTTTGCCCTGTGAATTATGGCATACATTTAATTTGCTGTATATCACCTTTTGAATTTTCACAGAAGGCTGATTAGAACCTTAGATCCAGAGATCTCTTTTTGAGACAGAAAAACAAATTTCCTCTAAGTCTGACAAAGCAACTGCATTTTCCTATTTTGGTTACAGCAAATTCCAGTCTTTGATCTGCCTATATAATCTAAAACAAATACTCAAGTGCTAGGAAAGCAAACAAGCTGCAAATGTCAATGAACAGAGGTAAACGCAATGAACAACTGCAGGAAAAATGCCAGTCCAACTCTCCAACTTCATTTCACCTCTGCTGCAACAGCAGAGGCTGTCAGCGTGTTTACATACAAAGTTGCAGGGCTTAAACCAAAGATCCAGTTTAAGTTAATGTAATTGCACTAAGGCAAAGGCCTTTCTAGTTGCTGTAACTGGATCTGAACACTACATATAAAATTGTTACTGGACATTGCTTACAAACTGGTTTGTTAAACTGAAATACATGCTCAGTTAAGGCTCTGTACCACTGTAAAAGTAAGTTTTCTTGGGGAACTTCTTTGGGACAGCTTACAGGTGCAGGGAAGTCTTATAACTTGGTCCAAAGTGCTCATGTGTAGAAAATGAATTATATTCCTTTCCTCCCTGTCCTCCTTCCACCTTCTTCCCTCCAACAGATGAACAGGATGAGTCAACTCCTGAATGCTTCATTTAATATTCCACTATACTCATGTGAAATGAATCAAAATGATGATTTGCATTACTATGTTGCTGTTCACTACCTGGAGTGAGGGGCTGAAATTTTGCAAAAATCATAGAATCATAGAATAGTTAGGGTTGGAAAGGACAGAAGATAATCAAGTTCCAACCCCCCTGCCGAGGGCAGGGACACCTCACACTAAACCATGTCACCTAAGGCTCTCTACAACCCAGCCTTGAACACTGCCAGGGATGGAGCATTCACAACTTCCCTGGGCAAGCAAAAATGTAAATGCAAAATTCAAATGTAATGCAAGTAATGGTACAAATGGAACATAAGAGGAATAAACAATTTCTGCCTTACAACCATGCAAACTGAGAATATTTATGTTAAACTCAGTCAGGTTTCATCAGTATACAGTAATTCCTTCAGGGTGAGGAAAAAACTTGAGACCCCCTCTTACAGACAGCATAGAGCAAGATGTTTCCATACACAGTATCTTTACTAAATGGTCACTTTTGCATGAAGAAGGAATTCAAAGAGGAAATGGCTAAGGTATAAGGCAGCATCCCTCCTCCACTTTTTTTTTTTCCCTCTTCAGGCTTATCTTTGCTTTTTTTCTGAAATCCTTTTTTTATCTTTCTGACCTTTGAACACCACCAAAAGCATCACCTAGTGACAAGACACCTTGCAACACTTTTTCTCTGGTGCTTATATTTGGGTTAATTTGCACTCATCGTGAAATATATCATTATAAATCACTGTTACATCATATCAACTATATCACTGAAACTGCTTAAAAATCTTTCTGTTTGCAGAGGATGTCAAAAAAAAAAAACACAAAAAACACCAAAACCCAAGCCAACTAAACTCAAAACCCCAAACTAAGTTGGACCTTAACTATAGCTATTAAAGTTAAGATAATGTGCAGTTTACCAGGCAGATGGTATCTTCACTCTATCAGTGAAGAGAGGAATAAAAAATTGAAATTAGTTTATTGAATTCCTTTTGTAAGATTGATTTTTATCTAATAAGGGCATTTTAATGACTACATATGCAGAGCCAGGACAGGGATTTCAATTACACTCACCTATACCTTTAAAACTGATTGCTGTCAAAGTTAATTTGCTCATCTGTTGTGTTTTCACTGAATTGGCCTTAAAAATTGTTCTAAGCGCCGTGGTAAACAGACAGCCACTAGATGGCATTTCAAGTTTAGCATTTACAGCTGTGCAATTTCCGTCACTGTGCTAAATAACAAGGCCTCGTGTTCTCTTAGTCGTGACAACTGTGATCCTATTACAAGTTGAGCTAAGTCTTGCTGGAATAGTTAAAGTCAACTGCTGTTTTTCCTTTAACGTAGCTGGTAGAAGATGGATAACCAAGGTTTCAAGAAACTAAGAATCTAAAGGGCTTCCTTTTATATTTTGCTTTACCAGGGTAAAAATAAATCATGTTCTTTGATTCAAACGGAAAAGAAAACAAACCACCAAAAAAAACCAAACCACACACACACACAAAATACCCCACCCTGTAAATAAGATAAAATTTATTTCTGAAGGAAGGTATAATCCAGTTTCTCCCAGGAACTGAACACCTTGAGAGGATTCAGCATTTAAAGCTCCTTACAGTAGCTAAGGTTTTACAGTAACTTTGGGAGCTAACCATTATACACTTCTCTTATACATGATTAAGCCACCCTTAAAGAAGCTTAAGTACTGTGTTCAAGGTCACAGAATGGACACATTCTGTGGATAAATAAGATCTTTACTTTATTAGACTGCTTGTAGCTGGGAAATAAACAGACAATGTGTTGGTATAAAAACTCTCTTTACCTTTCATGAAAGGTGAGTGGGCAGAAATCTCCTAATACACCTAGAATGAGAAAATTGAAAATATTGACCAGTGACTTCTCCTGCGAAAGTGTGTACTCATACTAATGCAGCAGTACTCAATTAAGCTATCTATGGTAAATAATATTAGTTACACTTTAATGAGGAAAGTATTTTAATTTACCCCTAATAAAATGTATTTGGACTACCCAATATGTAGATATTCTTTTAAAAGACCTTTTACATTTTACAGTTTGTCTCTTTGTGAGGTTTTAATTTTAACAGGGACATAAAAGTTATTAAAATAATAATCTAACTGACCAGGCAAGAAGTCATAATCTCTTGAGTAAAAGCTTTAAGCTGAAAAAAAAATACCCTGTTTAGACTCAGAAGATGAGAACACTTGCGATGTAGATGAAAAATAGCTTTTAAACAGAGGTAGACTTTGTGGAAATTAAAAAAGCCCTGAAGTTTTGGGCCGTAACTTATCTGTCCTTGGATCATTCTACTGTAGCACAATCAAGGTTTCCATGAAACTGAAGGTAAACAATCAAAGCACTTGATCAAAGTTAGATGCACCAGTTGAAGATACCAAACAGCATTTCTGTTAATGAAAGTCTGAGAAAAACAGTGCTGTAAGTGGGGAGAGGTAGGTTTAATCAAAATAAAGAACAGAGATGCACATTCATTTCTTTCATTTGTAAAAGAAATTAAATTGATTTTCTGCAATATCAGTTTGCATTACTAGCAAATTTACATTCATAATAGCTAAACACATTGCATTTTGTAATGATTTTCTGTTTCCCTTGCATCTGCTATGTAAGAATCTCACATCTAAAACAATGCTGAATTAGCCCTCACAATATCTTTGTGAGGTAGGTCAATGTTACCCTCCTTTTCACAGAATGATTTAGGTTGGAAACGGCCTTGAGATCATCTACTTCCAACACCCCTGCCATGGGCGGGGACACCTCACCCTAGACCATGTCACCCAAGGCTCTGTCCAACCTGGCCTTGAACACTGCCAGGGATGGAGCATTTACCACTTCTTTGGGCAACCTGTTCCAGAGCCTCATTACTCTCACAGTAAAGGACTTCTTCCTGACACCTAACCTGAATTTCCCCTGTGTATGTTTGAACCCATTCATTAGCCCTTGTCCTGTCACTATAGTCCCTGAGGATGAGTCCATCTCTGCACCCTTGTATGCCCCCTTCAGATACGGGAAGGCTGCTATAAGGTCTTTTATGTAAGAGGAAACCGAGGAACAGGATGATTTAAGTCAGTGTACCAGAGAAACTGCAGAAGAGTTAGATCTAGAATTCTAGTTTTCCATTCCTTGTACTGTGCTTCACATCTAGCGTCTTTCTTTCTTTTTGAGAAAGAGGAACAGCCCACAGTAGCTCTTGCTCTCATCTCTCTCCCTTTCCCCTTGCTTTGCATCGTACATCTTTGATGATTTCTCCATCTAAGCTGATAAGAATTGATAAATATCATCAATTTCTATCTGAACTATACAAATGAAGTAGAACATTTAAAGCTCAAAATTAAAGTGTCTGAAATTACTGTGGGTAGTAACATTACTGTATTTAGTACACAAGTCTGAATTTGTCTCACAGTTGCAGCAACTTTCTTTCTAATATGTAAAAGGATGAAGCCTCATATGTGCAGGGAGTATCCCTGACAGGACAGGCAGCCATAGTGAAGGGGGGATTGTGCAGCAATGTATATTCAGTGCAGTCCTTACAGTAAACAAAATTTCTACTTTTCTAGGGCAGACAGTGAAGGAGGTCATATTGCAGAGCAAATCACATAACTGAGGTAGAATATGAACAACTGAGAAACACAAAACATACCTGAATTGCTAGAGATGTTATTTGAAACAAAACTGACAAGGGCATTATAGATACATATGCTGCATGGCTGAAAGAAGTATCTGAGCAACACTGTGCAATAAAGTGGGCTGCTTTTAAACACAGCATTCATATTATTTTAAATTAGTTGTAAATATATATAATTAAATATATATGTGGTTTTCATACCAGTGGCTACTTGAGGTGAGTAAAAACCATTTTGCTAGTGCTATTCACGTGCACTCTATAGGTTGACAGACAGCAAGAATACAGTGAAAGCAATCCTGAAATTAAACAGAGCTCAGGAAATGCTAACAATCAGTAAGGAAAACTTCACTGCAATTTGCCCAAGATTGTTGACTATTTCATCATGTATTAAAAGAGACAATTAGAAGTTGTGACCACTGGTACTACATCACTACATAATTTCCCATTTTATATAAAGTGGGATTTGAATTTCACCTTAATTTTTAGAGTTTCAGGTCTTGGAGACATGGTGGTTTACTCAACTATTCGTTTTATTAAAAATATGCCATTTCTGAAAAGAATGAGCAATTCAAATAAAATAGAAAGTCAGAAGATTATCCCCCTCCAGGTTGAATGTTCATGGAAATGGTTATCTTGTGTATTCCAGAAGTAATCTGAAGACCAGAGTTCCTGTTTATAGTATCTCAGATGCGGAAGCTCTTGGATATCTCAGTGCCATTATCAGTTTTCTTCAGGCCTTGAAGGAAGCTCGAACTACTCTCCCCTTAAGAGGCTGAGGGGGGCGAAAATTATTGACCATTTGGATCCTCTGGTCTTCCTCACTGGTGAAGAGGAGCATGCGAAATTTCTCCAGCTGTAAATTCAGGCAAAATAATTCACTGCTCAAGAGGGCAATCAGTACTAAAATTCTGGGGTTTGGACAAAAGGAAAGTATTCAGTACATTTTAATCTATTAATAGAACAGGTTCAAGCAAAGATCCTATAGAGTATTAACAAAAATCAAAAGCTCTGATTATTAAGCAGCCTGATTATTCACAAGTTAATGGTCTTTCAACTTAGCCCCACTGCAAATCTAATCACTCACTGCCTGTTTATCCAGCCTTGACTCATACAAGAGCTAGGGGAGTATCAGAAATTTACCTGTTTCTCAGAAATGCTGATTGCTTCTTTCAGCACTATCCATGTTACACTCTCATTAAGGGGTGGTGTTGTCAAAGAACCAAGGTATGTCCAATAATCTAGATTCAATGGCAGGAGACATTTAGGGTTGAAGCTACTAAATTGAGCTTTTGTTCCCTGGGGAAAAAAAAAACAAAACCAAAACACACACACACACAAAAAAACAAACTTGAAATTTATCTTTTTACTCTTAAGGTACAGACTAAATTTAATTATTTATTTTAAAATAAGAAATGCTACAGCAGCATTAAAAGCTAGCAGAAAGGAAAAGTCTACAAAGCTTTGGTTGCCTTATAACAAGTTTTACAAGAGTAACATGGCAAGTCTGATTCCTGCTCCTGGCTTACTGGACTTTGAGTTCTTGCCCCATTGCCCCTACCAAAGTTCAGCTCTTGTCACAGAAGGTCTAAAAACAATGCAGGAAGCATATTCAACATATAGTGTTCAGTGTGAGCTCTAGATAATACCATAACAGAATTCCTTGTCTCATTACCTGCTATTTTCTGTTTTTCCACATCTATTTTTGTAGAGAATATTCACTATGGAAAACTTGCCCTCAGTCATGTCTGCTAGGACAAATATGTGCTTTAAAAATCAAATGTTCAAGTCTAAAATTAGAGGTAGGTTGGTGAACCTAAAGACCTGTAGAAACAGGAGTTTTTCCCTGAAGTCATGATTGCCTTAACTACCATAGTCTAGGGCAAGATTTTTCAGCTTGTAGGAGTATCTGAAAGGTACTTCGTCACACAAAAAGCACTGTCCAATTGTCTGTAAAATCACTTATAAGGAGCAGAATATGCAGCTTATTCCCAGTGACAAACCTGCAGAACTTCCACCACTACAGCTGAGGGATGACTATTTCTTTCCTACAAATGGAAAAAAATCACTTAAACATCAAAGTATCATTAGTGTGTCTGCAGCCTACACACTGCTATGTTCTTGTCCTTCACAGGCATTATATGGAGGAGCAAGAAATAATATGCCCACCCAAGCATTAGATATAATTTTGCATAATACAACATATGCATGTTATAGAATGCATTAGCCTCACGTAAATCCAGAAAGGATAACATTTGTAGTAGTCTAATCAGTCTGCACTTGAGAAAGCACAGCAGGTATCAATCTTTGAAGCTCTCAGATACATGTGGTTAAAGACCACATTCACATATCACTACAAGACTAGACTGCTCAGGACCTCTGTCCTAGGTTCAGCAGTAGCAGTCGTTTTTTCTCCTCGTTAGTAGCTGGTGCAGTGCTGTGTTTTTGACTTTCAGCCTGGGAACAACGCTGATAACACTGATGTTTGCAGTTGCTGCTCAGTAATGTTTACTCTGACCTAGGACTTTCTGAGCCTCATGCTCTGCCAGGGAGGAGGGGAAGCTGTGAGGAAGCAGAGACAGGACACCTGACCCAAAATAACCAAAGGGGTATTCCATACCACAGCACATCATGCCCGCTATATAAACTGGGGGCAATTACCCGGAAGGGTTAGATCACTGCTTGGTCAGGTTGGGTATCGGTCAGCAGGTGGTGAGTGGCTGTATTCTCTTCCCTTGTTATTTCCCTTATCTTTATTATTATTGGTGGTAGCAGCAGTGATTTGTGTTAAATCTTAGTTACTGGACTGTTCTTATCTCAACTCATGGGAGTTACATTCTTTCGATTCTTCTCCCCATCCTTCCAAGAGCAGAGGCAGTGAGTAAGCAGCTGCTTACTGTAAGTTACTGGCTGAGCTTAAACCCTGACAACCCCAACAGAGCTTTGCAGCAGAAGACAGACAGCCAACTTCAACTTGTTCAAGGTGAGGTTCGATGGAAAAGGATTATTTGGCCAAGTCTAAAAGCTGAGCCTGAAGGGTCATGGAGCTTTTGATTTTTAGATGCTCTGGGAAAGGTACAACCTCTGAATGACCAGTGTGGCCAAGCACAGATTTGTGAAGCACCTGAGATTAGGCAAGTGAGATGAACTTTGGAGGGGAAAAGGAGAATATAACTACAGTGATATTCTAATGATGGGAGATTTGTGGTGGGTGTTTTTCCATTTTTGTCTCAAACATGTGCATGAGCCTGATTTTTAAAGGCTATCCCAAAAACAAATATAAAGAGCTTAAGACTTACTTTAAATTTTACCATGTAAAAAGCATCAGTGAGTCTGTTCATACTGGCATGTTCTTGCCCAATCTAAAATAATGGAATAGACAAATTAAATAAGAATGACTATAATTATGCTTCGAATAGGTGTTGTTTTCTTATCTGAATCTCAACATTCCTACTAACGTAAGTTTAACAGCAATTTGCAATGAGTTACTGCCTCCAATAAGTCATCTGTTTTCCTTAAGCACTTCTTAAATATGCAGCTTGGTTCTCAAACACTTGACAGCATAATGCTTTTCATCATCTAAACATGCTATTTTTGCAGTTCTTACCTCCAAGAAAACAGCAACTACTGCCAAGCCATCTGGAGCTGCTGCTGCTTCTCCAAATGTTGCATATTTTCTGGCATTCCAGTGAACTACGTGGAGCTTTAAAGAAAAGTAACAAACAGGAATTAAACAAATTAGTAATAGAAGTTGCTAAAATAGTTTGTCTCATGCGAACAGGCACTAATATAACAGACATTTATAACATAATGTTGTTTTTACTCCAAAGGCATCTTTGGAAGGATTAACAAGTTCAAACTTTTGGACCAGTCCATCAACATGGACAGACACTGGACAAAGTTACTGTATATACACCTATATTGGGCTTGCATGGCACAGTCTTCGTAGCAGGTGGGCTACAGGGGTGCCGTCTGTGAGAAGCTACTGGAAGCTCTGCCTATATGCAATAGAGCCAATGCCAGCCAACTCCAAGACAGACTCCACCACTGGCCAAGGCTGAGGCATCAGTGATGGTAGCACCTCTGGGACAACGTATTTAAGGGGAAAAAAACCCACACAGCTTCAGCTGGAGAGAGGAGTGAGAATATGTTAGAGGAACAGCTCTGCAGACACCAAGGTCAGTGCAGGAGGCAAGGAGGCGTTCCAGGCACTGGAGCAGAGATTCTCCTGCAGCCCATGGTGGGGCAGGCTGTTCCCCTGCAACCCATGGAGGTCCATGGTGGAACAGATATCCACCTGCAGCCCAGAGAGGAACCCACACCAGAGCAGGGGGATGTCCAAAGGCAGCTGTGACCCTGTGGGAAGCCCAGGCTGGAGCAGGTTTGCTGCAGGACTGGTGACCCCATGGGGGACCCATGCTGGAGCAATCTGTGCCTGAAGGACTGCACCCCGTGGAGGGGACCCACGCTGGAGCCGTTCATGAAGAACTGCAGCCCGTGCGAAGGGCTCATGTTGTAGAAGTTCATGGAGGACTGTCTTCCATGGGAGAGACCCCACACTGAAGCAGGGGAAGAGCATAAGAGACCTCCCCTGAGGAGGAAGGAGCAGAAGAGAACTTGTAAGGTTGCGACCACAACCCTTATTCCCCATACCTCTGTGCCAGGGGTGGAAGGAGGCAGAGAAAAATCAGTAAATTTAAGCCTGGGAGGAAGGTGTTTATCAAAGATTTGGTTTTATTTCTCATTATCCTATCAATTTGTTTGGTAATGAATTAAACAGATTTTCCTCAAGTCAAGTTCTGTTTTGCCCATGACTAATTGGTAACTGATCTCTTCCTGTCCTGACCACCTTCTTTCACCTGCCCAGCTAAGGAGGGGAATGATAGAGCAGCTTGGCTGGACAGCAGGTGCCCACCAAGACTCACCCCACCACAGAGCTTTAATTGAAACAAATCAGGCATTAACCTGTGACCTATCCCATGAAGCACTATGCTCTGCTGCTCACTGGTAGACTCCAGGATGCCATGCTGCCATAATATTTGGGATAGACTGAGCTGGGAAGGGTCTGTGCCTTGTCCTTGCTTTGCAGAACTTCTTCAAGAGCCCCCAAACAGAGACATTTCTAAGCTATGTATAGCACAAGCTCATTGAAGTCTGTGCTGACCTAACCATGGTGAGTAAGCAATCAGAATCTTAAAGGACATTCAGTCCCCACTGCAGACAAAGTCATTTGTCAACAGTATTTGCATGAATTAATCCAACTGTAAAAAATACATTGTTACCTCACAGGGAAAAGGCTTGCCATCAATTGTGTGCTCCGATCCCTGGCTGGGATTTGTCCCCCAGTGAAAGTGAAACTGCTTTAGCCGAAATGGATTCTCAAGGGGACCACTGCTGATAGCTAGGCAAAAAAAAAAAAAAAACAACAAAAAAAAAAAAGGAAAAAGCTTAAGCATTCTGCCTTTTTAGCTCCTGTTAGTAAAGACTAACTGTTGTTGGCACAATAATGGGAAAAAAAAAAAATGATGCATCATCCAGACATTTAGAAGGGTTGCATTCCTTCCTGGAAAGCACCTGAATTCATGTAAAATTTTAAATTAAAAAGATTGAGTGGCTATTTGTACAGAATTTTGTGGCTTTTTTTCAAAGGTGATATATGAAGATGTGACAGCCATAGTTATGGTTATGCCTTGCCTGTTAAACATAATAAATACAAGTTGAAAATTGAAAAAAAAAAACAACAAACCCAAACCAAAAAACAGCAATTTGAAATTTTTGTAGCTAAAGTATTTTTGACAGAGCTACCTGGGAGTTTGTGCAAAAGACTGTAGATACCTTCACATCAGGTAGGCAATTCAGCTAAGACTTTCCTTTTTAGAGTATCTTTATTTCCAGTGGAGGTTATCTATATTCTGTTTCCTTTAAAAACCTGATCCCATAAAAGAGGTAATATAATAGGCTGTACTTCACACAACACCATTCAGAATCTCAAATTGCCTTGTAAAAGGGAGGAAATATTACAGAGAAACTTCATACATCATTTAGAAATAACACTTAAGAACTGATGAATGTTTAAGATGCCACCTATAGAAGATACTTTACCAACAGCATCAGTTTTCCTCCTGTAATTTTATACGGCACTAAATCAAATGAATTTTGCTCAACACACATGAAAACCTGATCAAAGTCTTATTTCAAGAAAATTAGAAGGACATTTAGTTTCTATAAAACACTCATCTTTGGTGTAGTCAGTAATATTTCATTTAAAAAATTAAATCTGGGGCTTGCACAGAGCTGCCACATGTTAATAGTTCCAGCTGGCCTTTATGCAGGAAACTGGTGTTGTCAAATCAAAGGATTTAGTATTCATTAGGAATCTAAGTCTCTCCTTGTACATTTTTCTGAACTTAGTAATAAAACGCATCACCTGTCTTAAATATTATTTTAAGAAATCTAGCTATGATGGCTTACTGTCAAAATGCTGTTGTGCCATTTATACAGAGCTGTGAGTCACCAGATCTATTTCAACACAACTAAAACCACTTTAAATCATGTCTTCCACTCCTAGCAGCCTTCTTCCTTAAAAGCATTATTGAAACAAGGCATGTGCTTAGTGTAGCAAGGGCAGAGGTCTTAATTCCCACGTGCTCTGAGTCTGTATCATTTAATCCAGCTTAATAGATGTTCTCAAGCTGCATAAAGTTCACTGTTATGCAGATAAAGTTCAGGTTTGAATTGCATTAATGTAGTTAGCAAGCTAAGATAATACTTCCACACATATTTTACAAATTCTCTTTCATAGGGTGGCATGCTTAATGGATCTGTGTAGTAAGATTTTTGGGAAAATCGACATCCAGTCTTCTTTTCAAAGTCAGTAATGACGCTTGAAAACCTGATCATTTGGCTGGGTGGATTCATTCATGATGAGAAATTTTAAACCAGAATGGCTGGAATTTTAACCCCCAGCCCTTATTTCAAAGGGTTACCAGCACAGACAAGTCACTTAAAACACGTTACTTTCTGTTATCTAGGGTATCCTATTTAGCTAGAATCACTAAACATGCCCAAATGAAATCAGCTTATAGGTTTAAAAGTTATCATCTCCACTTGAATGCCCCTCTCCTACCCCACAGATGCAAAACCAAGTTCTACCATGGAAGCAGGATTAACAGAAGCAATCAATCACTTAAGCATTTATAATCTCTGGCAAGAGCTAAGGGACAAGAATAATACACAACTGCAGATAGTCCAACATCCACAAGCTGCTGCCAACTCAGAATTGGCTGAAGGTTTTATAATTTCTGAAGAAATTGAATTGCTATGAGGCAGGGAAGAAAGACGAAAACAAACACAAGGTGACAGTGATCGGTCCAGATACAACTTGGTGTAGTGACTATGATTACAATAACCCCATCTCTGCTACTGCTTTTCTCTTCCCTACCCCTGTCAATGGAAACTGGGCAGACAGCCAGACAGGACTGGCATGTCTGTTAACATCTTTGATTTGGATGATCATGGAAGGATGATAGTGAGGAGCTTAGATATTGCTCTGTATGCTGATGTGGTCTAGGAGCGATGGAAAGATGCATGGATTCCTTGCCTAGCAAACTGACAACCCCCATTTAAAAGGTAAGCGCTGCAAACAATCTTCTGATTTCCTGGGTGCAAGAGCTTTTCCAAACACAGAGTTCTGATGTGCGATATTGCATTGCTAGCATCTCAAGTGAAGGCAAGAAACATGGGGCTCAAGAAGCCAAAATACAAAGGGTTCTGGTCATATGCCCTGTTCTAAATTAAAACTATGTATCATAAATACACCACATAGAATGTACTTACTTGTTTCCCTTCACTAAGTCACAAAACAGTACTCCAAGTTAGTTGGCTGTGTATTAGTCTCACCTGCCTTGTCATCGGTATCTTCAAACTCAACCATAACTGAATGGCCATTGTTTGAGATGTTAAGAGACGTACACGATTCATAGGAGAAAATGAGTGGCTTCAGATTAGGGTCATAAACTGCTCTTGCAGAAACTATATCAATAGGTGACTGGCGGTTTCCTTGGGCAATAGGATAAGATCTGTGCCACTCTGAAGGTCCTTCAAAAAGGAAAGAAAGGAAAACACCATTATTTTCTTCCTACTATACACAAAATAAGGATTACCGATTTTCATGAGGTTTGAAGTAAAGCTTGGTGAGCAGGAGTGACTCAAAAGTTTGGTCTCTAAGGAGTTAATTTGAATTTTAAGCTGGTGTGTTTTTATTAGCACAAACAGGCTGCAGCAAGATGGGGGATTCAACTATCTTGTACAAAACACACTAAGGGAGTCAGAACATCCACAGACTGCTGTATCTTCAGTTACTTGTGCCACTCATTCTCTGTGGAGTTTGTAATTACATTGCTGAGGTATCTGAAGACCATCCAAGGCAGTGCAGGTGTAAACTCACTTGCACACACACATGCACTCCTCAAAGAAATAGCATTTAATTCTTCCTGGGAAAGATAGTGTAAAAGCTTTGGTGATTCAAATTAGATGCAGATGACTCAATCTCTTAGCTACTGACTATGCAGTTATTTTTAAAGTAATTTTATGACTGCAGTAAATCTTTGAGGCAGCTTCATTCTTTACTCATGCCCATTATGGTATCTCTCTACCCTGAGTGAAGGGTACAGTGTGATAATTAACATTTTTGGACTTCCTGACCTCAATAGAGTTGTGAGAAGGACCAATTTAATAACAGCTCTCTGCCACCAGAGCTGGAACATTCTTATGCTGTTTGAGATAATAAAAACCTTATCTGTATCAAAGAATTAGTTATGATTTTTTCTACTTCAGTATGGTAATGCAGGAAGCAATTGAGATCTTCTACTGCTATGTTCATAAAGTATTAAGAGTAATAACTGTAAGACTCCCACATACCTTCATGAGCAGAAACTTTTTTAAGAAAAGCACATGTATGTACCCTCCTTGAGTTTACATAACAAAACAAGTAATCTATTATGCTTTTATTTGTCTTCGGCATTTTCCAAAAAGCTAAGCTTATAAAATAGCATCTTTTCTCAGCCTGACTATACAGCAGATTCAGATTTAAATGCTGTTACACAAGCTTAGGCAATATAATTTGTCTCTTATAAGCTTTGTAAAACTGGCTTTGTCACTATAACCTACATGCCCAAACACATAAAACTATCTAATAGCTCTAACCAGCTTTCACTTAGCATTCAAACTTGCTTTTGGACCCACAGAAACTAAAATAATGGCTGTTAAGAGAGACTGGTTCCTGAACGTTATGCAAAAGACTGCCTTACTGGACACCAGCCACTCATCCATCCTTCTCTGTAAAGGACACAGATGCTATAAAACACTGCTGTAGGAATCGCTCAGTAGCTTCATGTATCCTCTCACTGTGACATACGTTCTTGGAGGTGGGAAGCAAAGGAGGATGACTAAATTAAAAGCTGTCAAATCAGAAAGTATAAACTGTTCTGTAGAGATCTCTGAAACTCATCTGTTCAATTTACTCATGTTCTAGAAATATAACACATACCTTACTTTGTTCACATCTGTGGAAGCATAGATATCACATTGCAACTGCTGTACTTATCAGCAGATCTATTACTGCTCTACTAAATCTTCTTTAGTTAAAAGAGTTGCTTTTAGAGACATAGACAGTTAATCCTTTCCCTAACAGCTTTTTGGAAAGGTACCCATCTGTAATAACTGCAGCCTGAAAAAAACCCCACTCAGCACTGCTTCCCTCAGTTTAGGGACATTGATTCCAACAACGAAAGGCAGCAGTCACACATTTGTGCCTCTTTCGGGGCCACTTTCTGGGTGCTATTTATTATCGAGAAAGTAATTAATTACCTTCTGTACATACTTGGTGCTTGCAGACATCAAAATGCAGAGGAGCTCTGCAGGGCTTAGGCAACAGCTCTAGAAAGAAAACGAGTGGGGGAAGAGAGAGAGATGCAGCACGGAAATGCTAAGACCTACCGTCATCCTTCCCATATCCCCAAATGCGGTGGCCAGTCATTATAGCGGAGCTGCGCCCCGCTCTGCTGCCAGCTCTCTGCTCGGGGCACCGCTTCTCTACCTGCCCTTATAACAGCTCACCGTGGGATAGGGTCAGCCCCTTAAAGGTACAGAGCACCAAAGCAGCTCCTGCCCGATGGGGGAAGCACCTGCGCTCCTCCTGCTCACTCTGGTAACTCAGCACAGGAGAAGGACAATGTAAAACTGAGGTAACTGAAGTCTCAGGACATAGAGAAGGAGACTGTCCAGCTGGCATTTAGGGAAAAGTGGTAGTATTTTCCCATTCTGCAAAACGTGAGAGCAAGAGCCATAACCTGCTCTGAGCATGAGGGCACAGTAATGTGCTTTTATGTTCTGCAAGGAGAAACATTGCTGCCTCTCTTTTCTTCAACACTCCTTCCAGCTGCAAAAAAAACTAACGATGTTTCCACCTGATTTGTAATTAAAACTTCAGAATCGGTGCTTAGGTCAAAAGAACATTCTCATCTCAGAAAGATTACTTGTGATACTTTTAAACAAGGTAAATCACACCCATTAAGGACAAATCTGCAAATTATTTTTTTCCTTCGTAACTAAAGAAACTTTTCAAAAAGACAAAAATAAAACCGGTTACATTAGAGAACAGAACACAGCAGACTCTAGTATAAGGACCTGATCTGTGAAACCTCAGTTATCTGTATGACCCAGTAGCTGCCTGTGTCCTGCTAAACCCATGAAGAGGCTACAATGCAATACTCAATCTGCAGCTATAAAATGTCTTAAGACATCTTTGTGGCAAGAAAACATCTCCTTGGTAGGGATTTTGTTAGATCTGAGGAAAAGCTGCCAGTTAAGGTTACGTTTTATAAACATATTGATTTTCATAAAAACAGCAGTGCACAGAAATAGGGATCCTTCCATTATGCAATCAATGAAATAGAAGGAGGGAAAAAAAAAATCGATGAAAGCATTTTATGCAACTTTTACATTGTGGTACCGCATTGTAAGAATTAACTTCCTTTTCCATAGGAGCTTTCCATAGGAGTCAGCTATAAAACTTTTGAGATTTACTAATGTAAGCTAAATCACTCAGAGATGTAAACAGCTGTAAAAGTGTACACAGGATAATTCTAGAGTGACTCATTGAGGTCAACTTCTTCATTTACTTCTGTTTAACTCCTGTGATCGACTCAGGTCCCTGTGGGCCTGGCACATGCACCAGGTGCTGACACTGCAGGTATGCCTGTGGCTAAATAGTCTGCACACACCTCAGGGTGACTCAGGAATAGGAAGGAGTACAGCAGTACTGCCATCAGGTTACCTTGCTGCTCAGCAGGACAAATGAGCTGGGAGAAGCTGTGATGCTTTGGTTCTTACTCTTGTGTGGCTCTGTGATTGTAGACAGGGAAGCATGATGTACACAGAGCCAGCCAGATGCAAATAGTCAAGAAAGCTGTTCTAGATCATGGGAAAAGATCAACTTGCCAGTGAAAAGATGAAATGGAAGAGGAATTTTGTAAGGAAAAAAAACCAAAATATACTTTGGGAAAAAACATACACAAGATAGAGAATACTGAGCAACTGTTTTCAAGACAAACTTGAAAACTGAGGCGCAGCTCTGGCTCACAGGGCACAGTTCCACTGAAGAGGCCCTACATGCATTTGATACCATTCACCACTTCAGCTAAACATTCAAAACCATACAGATGCCTACATATGACATACTATATGCTAAGGCAGACCATAGGAAGAACTCTAAGACAAGGAAAAACATGCTGAATATATGGCAGAAAGTAGACTCCACAAAATAGATGTTTGATTGGTTTGATTTAGAAAAGTGAAAAAGGGGGAATGACAATACTGGAGAGGGAAAAAATAGCTTGAACAGAATTTTAGCCACGAATGATAGCCAGTGTATTCATGACAGTTTAATGTACTCCCCCACCCACTCACCCTTCTTTGTTTTTAAGGAAAATATTAAGTTTTCCTTAAAGTGAGAGTAAAATGTCTGCTTATACAAGTATCTCATTATTTTGTAACCCTGACGCCTCTTGATAGTGACTGCCTCTAAGAAAGGATTTTCACTGATTCTGTCCTCAAACTGTCATTTATCACTTGTGGTAGCAACCTAATTCTGATTTCAGTTTTATTAGCTTGAATCAAGGATAATTACATCACATTCATGTTCTTCTGGAAGTGAGAAGAATAGAGTGGTAAGTGCTTAAAGGCTGGATTTCTCCAGTGCTGAGCTAAAAGTGAAGTACTCCCGATATCCACAGATTTCTCACAGGCTTTGACTACACCTCGAAAGTGTCTGCTTGGCAGTGAATCACAGGAAGATGTAATTCCACCCATTACAGTGTAGTGTTTCAATCCATCTTAAAGAATAATTCTGTCTTCCCCCATCTTCATAATTACAGTTTAATTCCTCTTTGACAGTAATAATGAGTGGAGAGAACAGCAGCCTAGGACAAATACCTAGGTTCTTCTGGACCTGTCACAGTGTTATGATATGAACTAACAACAAATGCTCCAGTTCTCCCATCCCTATATATGGAATACTTTTATGATTTAATTTGGGCTCTCTTTATTAAAAATGTTGTATAGAAGTGAGCATTTTAGTGACACAGCTCCAAGTAAGATTGGAATGCGTAACAGAAGTTGAACGTATTAAGCTTCGCAGGTTTCAGGAAATTGGATTTTTGAATTTTTAAGGCAAGTTATCTCTATAATGCAGATCTGGAGTCATTGAGAGGCATTCACACAAAGACATGATGTCTCTTGAGGACAATGCTGTTGGTATGTAATTGCATCACTATAGAGGGGCAGAGCATTTTAGGAGATGCAAAATGAAGGAATAGTTGTTTGGTTTCAAGGTGAATGGCTAAATAGCCTTCAAAGTGTATTTGCTTAGGTAACTTGGTAATTATCTTTGATGAGCATTTGTATGTAACGGCAACATACATTTGAAAGAGGTGTCATGTGCCTTCTTTAATGCATATGAGTGTGTCTGATCTGTCATTGCCTATTAACAAAAATATGGCAGAAACACCATCAGTACCATCAGGCTGCTCACTCTGGAGCCTTTGAAGTACAGTAAGTAGGAGCAGATTAAATGTTAAAACATTCATCACTCCAGAGCTTGCCTACACCTCGGGTTCTTGAAAGAGTATCTTGTTTATCTAGGCAGCTCGTCTCTCTCCTTACATCGCTGTTATGAGTGCTGGCAGTTTCCAACTGGGAGTTACAGTAAGGTGACATCTTTCTTTATGTTTGCGTTAAAATAACATCTAAAAAAACCACAAATGGCACAAAAAAATACTGCACAAGGTAAATACAAACAGGAGGATGAACTGCCAACGTGGAACAGTAAAAAGCCGTATTGTTCCAGGTTTTTCTTATAACTTTTTTAGTATTTAAAAAGTGACTGCCTACATTTAGTGATTGATGATAGAAATTTCCACGTTATATTCTTGTTTTTCTTTCCAAACACAAAACCACCAGAAATGGGGACTTATATTCTGGAACTAAGTCTGAAATACTAACTCTTACAATTTATGGCTTATCCATTTGAAACTGTAATTGTAGCAGATAGTGAGGACTGAATGAGACAACTTTTGACTTAGGTAAACAGAACATTCCCACAAATATTGCACGAGGGCTGAGATTTCAAGAGAAGGAAGGATTTACTATGAGAAAAAGGAACATTGGAGAAGATAACCGTGTACGGAAAAGCAGAAGAGGAAGTGCTCCTTTTGTATTACAATGTCATCTGCAAATTAGATTGCAATTCGGTGCAATCTGCACTGAATTGCACAGCTTTGTAAAGTTGGGGCTGTTCAGCCTGGAGAAGAGAAGGCTGCGTGGAGACCTCATAGCAGCCTTCCAGTATCTGAAGGGGGGCTATAGGGATGCTGGGGATCATTAGGGACTGTAGTGATAGGACAAGGGGTAATGGGTTCAAAATTAAACAGGGGAAGTTTAGATTGAATAGAAGGAAGTTCTTTACTGTGAGGTTGGTGAGGCACTGGAATGGGTTGCCCAAGGAAGCTGTGAATGCTCCATCCCTGGCAGTATTCAAGGCCAGGCTGGACAGAGCTTTGGGCGACGTGGTTTAGTGTAAGGTGTCCCTGCCCATGGCAGAGGGGCTGGAACTGGATGATCTTAAGGTCCTTTCCAACCCTAACTATTCTATGATTCTGTTATTCTATATATAACAAATCAAATTTATACTAAAGAGAAGCAGATTACAAAGGTGATTGAACATTGTCGCCCAGGCTGGAACCATAACCATGCACATATTTCTCCTTTGCTGTTGCAACTTTGTGCTAGAGAGATTGGTTGTGATTTTTAACGACATGATTTCTCTGTTTTTTTTTTTTTTGTTTGTTTGTTTTTTTTTTTTTTTTTTTGTACACTTTGATAGGACAACCTGCATTGATCCTGTACGGGAAGCACACACCATCTGCAACACGCATCTAAGCCGATGTATCTGAGGACAGGTATCTGCAGGGCTTCTGTGAAATGGTTCAAAACTCCGCACCAGCGATGTGAAGCGTACAGGGATGTGAAGCGAAACGCCACCCGAACACGAACTCTCGGAGCGGCACACGCTTCAGAAGCACCCTCCTGAAGGGCACGGCATCCCGCACCCACAGCCGCCGGGCCCGCCTGCTCAGCACCGGGCCTTTCTGCCGCCTTCCAAGCCGCCGCCTCACATCGCAGCTGCAGGATGGCGGCAGCTCCCTCCCCGTCCCGTCCCGTCCCGACCGGTGCTGGCGCCAGATCCGTGCGAGCACCGAGCTCCACACCGCGGGAGCCACAGCGCCCGGACCCGCCGCGACACCGCACGCCAGCGATCAGGCACCTCCGCGCATGCGTCGTCACTCTCGCGCATGAGCAGTGCGTACGGTGAAGAGTGTGCGGCAATGGCGGAGCCTGGCAAGGCCAGCATGAAGGAGCAGCGGTACGACCGGCAGCTGAGGTAGTACCATGGGTCGCGACCTGCTGGGGATTGCCCGGGCTTTGCGGGGCTGCCGGCGGGGCGGCCAGCGGGCTGCCGTGGTGGGGGGGCTCTGTGTCTCGCCGCAGGCCGGGCCGCTACTGCCGGCTCTGGGTGCTGGTTCTAGCACGGGCCTCTTCTGAGCCCGGTTGAGAGGAGAGGTGCCGCTCCCCGCTGCTCGGGCAGGGCCGCTGGGCGC